ACTCCCCTATCACAAAAACCTCTCCAAAAAAAACAAAATAAATTTTTCTTGTTCTAAAAAGACACTGATAAAAATGATCTCCTTTTTAGCAACATTTCTTCTGTGTCTTTGTCACTTTATTTTACTCCTTCCAAATTATTATTTTATCAATTAAATTATATTATATAATAAAACATAACTGTAAAGTCTTTTAAATATTTTTGTGCATTTTAAATTTATAACTATGACCCATTAATATATTTAATAGTTTATTCTTGGCCAATCCTAACATTGTTAACATGTGGCCATCTTGGCTAGGTTTTTCATTGTGAGGTCAGGGACTGCCTCAAAATTCTGTCTTAGATCGTCCTGGTAACCTTCATGCACACACAAACATAACTGTAAAGTCTTTTAAATATTTTTGTGCATTTTAAATTTATAACTATGACCCATTAATATATTTAATAGTTTATTCTTGGCCAATCCTAACATTGTTAACATGTGGCCATCTTGGCTAGGTTTTTCATTGTGAGGTCAGGGACTGCCTCAAAATTCTGTCTTAGATCGTCCTGGTAACCTTCATGCACACACTGTTTCAGAGTAAGCTTAAACCAGTCTGATCATTCACCTCTTACAGGTAATTTGTTTTACCTTTTTCAGTTTTGCAGTTTTACCTTTCTTCAGTTTTGCAGTTTTGCAGTTTTACCTTTCTTCAGTTTTGCAGTTTTCTGTTTTTATCTTTGATCTTTGACAGTTTCAACAGATTATCTTTAGACATTAGGTTTATCTTTATATAGTTTTATATTTGATTTACTGAAATCCTCAGTTTTGGAACTTTTCTTTTCTTTCCTAAAAATATGTAATAGTAATGGTTTATTTTCAGCTACCTGTCATCTCTAAGCTTATTACTCTATAATTGATCTTTCAAAATTGTTTAGTTCTCATCTCTCGAATCACAATATATTTTATATGATGATATCCAAATGTATTTTAATTTTTTTGTCTTTTAAATTTGTAACTCTCACTTGTTCATACTTTTTTTTGGGGGGGGGAGAGGGAGATTTTTGCTATAGGGCACATGCACTACCCAGAAAGACAGAGAGAGACAGAGAGTGAGAAACGGAGAAATCACCCCCCAGGGGGGATGGCCACACCACAATTCCATCTCCTCCATTCTCCTCTCAGGATCTTGGACATGCATGCACACATGCCTGGCTGAGTCTAAGCCACCGAGTCTGGGACTCAAACTACCATGGACCACATGAGAATCCAGCAACATAGGCATTACTCCAACTGCTGGTCTCTGTACATTTAATATCCTGTTGTAGGTAAGACCTAACTGTGTGAACATGTGGCCATCTTGGCTGACATTTTCATTGTGAAGTCAAAGACTCCTCAACATTTTGTCTAAGTTGTCCTGGAGGCCTCCATGTACACGGTGCTCCAGTCAGTTTAGATCTGTCTGTTCATTTACCCTTTCCAGGAAACATTTTTTTACCTTGATCTGGATTTTGTAGTTTTTTTATTGTTACTCTAGATCTTTGAAAATTCCAGGAGATTATATCTGGACAATCTTTTTATTCTGTGGTATTTAGTTAATTTTCTTACTCAGTTCTGTAATTAATTTTGTTTTTTTGAATCTAATTGCCAGGGGTTATTTTCCAGAAAACTCTCCATATATTCTTTTTTTTTTTTTTTTTATTTTTGGGAGGTTTTTTTTTGCTATAGGGCACATATGCTCTCCAGAAAGATAGAGAGACAGAGAGATAGAAAGCAAGAAATCACCCCCTGGGGGGGTGGCCATGCCGCAATCCCTTCTCCTCCATTCTCCTCTTGCTCACACTCACATGTTCCCAGCGTGAGTTTAAGCCACTGAGTCCAGGACTCGAACTGTGGTCAGCTACATGGGAGCTCAGTGACATAGCCATTACTCCTACTACTGGTCCCTCTACATATATTCTTCATACTGCTATTGGTCTTTCCAAATTCTCCATTTATTTTATATTAATAACAATATATTTTATATCATAGGTCAGCCTTTCAAAGTTTTTATTTATATCTTCTTAATTTATATTTAAACTTATGTTTATCTTTAATTTTTCAGTATAAATTGATTATAGCTCTTGCAAACATGTGCCCATCTTGGTTGGCTCTTTTATTGTGAGGTCAGGACTCCCCTTTTCATTGTGAGGTCAGGATCTCCCTCAAAATTCTAAGTTGTCCTGGTCACCTTCATGTACACAGTGTTTCAGAGTAAGCTTCCAGCAGTCGGATCATTCACCCTTTCCGGGTAATCTGTTTTATCTTCCTTAACTTGTAGTGCCTCTGTCTTGGGGGAAGTTCCCAAAAGACTAGGAGAGTGCCGTTCTGATGTAAACCCACAATGGTCGCTTTTATTCAGGCTCGAGCCAGGGTCCCCAACTATCACCGACACAGCAGATCAGAGTTGAGAGCCCCAGTGTTAGTTGGGTTGGATTTTTACTTGGCTGTTGGGGGGGGAGGGTTAAGGGGTGCTGAGGAAAGCACTCAGGTGACAATACATTGGTTGTAGATTACAGGGAATGTAGCTGTCTTTGGTTGATTGGTTATTAAGCCATTTAGTTAGGCAAAAAGTTACTTTAGATTTCTGGTATCTCCTTTGTTTCTTTCATTGGTCAGTCCCGGTGGGGTGATAGTGTCATGATTTTTCTACGTGTCCGGCTCGCCTTATTAGAAATGGTGCTGTCCCTCAGTAAGGTGGGACAAAATGGAGTCGTGGGACAAAATGGAGTCACTCTGGTTCTGCTCTGGTCCTTCAAACTTCATAGTTTTCTATCTTTATCCTTAATCTCTGACAGTTTCAACAGATTATTTCTAGACATTGGTTTTCTGTTTCTACATTGTCTTATAATTTATTTATTTACATCCCAGATCTGTAACTTCTTTTACTTTTCTAAAAGAGTATATCTAATAGTAAGGAGTTTATTTTCAGCAACCTCTCTGTATAAGTTTGTTATTCTATTACTGCTCTTTTGAAATTGTTTACTTGTCATCTCTTTAATCAATATATTTTATATAATGTTATCTAAATATCTTTAAAAACATTTTTTTGGCTTTTGAATTTGTAGCTCACACTTGTTTATATGTTTAACACCCTGTTGTAAGCCAGTCCTAATACTGTGAACATGTGACCACCCTGATTGGCTTTTGTAATTGTGATGTCAGAAACTCCCTCACCATTTTATCCAAGTTGTCCTGGAGACTTTCAGTACAGTGTTTCTGAGTCAGTTTACACCACTCGGTTGATGTACCCTTTCCAGGTAACATATGTTTTACCTTTTCTGGATTCTATAGTTTTTTTTTAGTATTTTTTGATTGTTTGTTTGTTTTTTAATTTACCAGAGGGTGCATGTACTCACCAAAAGGAAGAACAAAGAGAGACTGAGAGAGAAGGAAAAGCAACAAGCAATTCTGTCTTAAGGGGAATGATCATGCTGCAATTCCTTCTCCTCCATCTCTCCCTCCTTTCACGATTTTGGGTATGCATGCAGACATGTTCCTGGTGTGTTTTTTAAGCTTCTAGGTCCAGGGCTTGAACTATGTAGTCAGCCATGTTTGATCCACCTCCCTTAACCAACAGACCATTGGTCTGACCCTCTAACATTATTGTTGATCTTTGAAAGTTCCAATAGGTCATCTCTAGATAATCTTTGCATTCTGTGGTACTTAGCTAATTTTCTTACTCAGTTCTGAAATTTATTTCCTTTTTTACAAATCTATGCCTACGATATATTTTTCAGCCACCTCTTACATTTACTTTTCATTCTATCATTGGTCTTTCCAAATTATTTATTTATTTTCTTTGTCATAATATATTTTGTGTTATAATGTCTAACTGCCTTTCAAAGTTTGTTTTGAACTTGAATTTGTAACCATTATTTACATTTTTGATATCGTATCATAGGTCAGTCCTAGCACTGTGAATATGTGTCCATTTTGATTGGCTCTTTCATTGTGAGGTCAGGAACTCCCTCAAAATTCTGTCTATATTGTCCTGGCAACTTTCATGTACACAGTGTATCAGAGTAAGCTTAGACCAGTCTAATCATTCACACCTTAGAGGTAATGTCTATTTTACCATTCCTGGGTTTTTCAATTTTCTAAATTTATTTTTTTATCATTGAAAGTTTTATTTTGCTTGTTTTTTGAGTTTTTTGTTTGTTTGTTTGTTTGTTTTTTTGCTATAGGACGCATGTACTCACCAGAAAAACAGAGAGGGACAGAAAGCGAGAAATCACCCCCAGGGGGGATGGCCACGCCACAATCCCTTCTCCTCCATTCTCCTCTCAGGATTTTGGGCACGTGCTCACACGCGCCCAGCATGAGTTTAAGCCACTGGGTCCCGGACTCAAATTGCAGTCGAGTACATGGGAGTCCAGTAACATAGCCATTATGCCATCTGCTGGTCCCTATCATTGAAAGTTTTAACAGGTTATATCTAGATATTGGCTTCTTTACTTTGCATTATTTCATATTTTATTGCTTACATCTTCAGTCCAGAACTTTTTCTTTTCTAAAAAGTTGTAATAGTAATGGTCTATTTTCAGCAACCTCTCTTATATAAGCTTGCTACTCTATTATTGATCTTTCTAAATTATTCATTTCTCATTTTATTAATAATATTATCACAATGTTTAAATGTCTCTCAATGTTTTTTCTTTGTATATTTTTAATTTATATTTATTACTTGTGTATATCTTTAATTTTTCAGTCTAAGCCTATTCTAACTCTGTGAATAGGTGGTTATTTTTTAAGGTTTTATTTCTTTTATTTTTGCAACAAAAGGTGTGTTCACTTGCTGGTGAAAGAGACACAGACAGAGAAAAGGAAATTAGAAATCACTCCCCGAGGGGATGGCCATGCCACTGTCCTTTCTCCTCTATTCTCCATTGAAGATGTTGGGCACACATGCACATATGCCCAGTCTGATTTTCAAGCTGCCAGGTCCAGGACTCGAGCTGCAGTCAACCATGTGGGGGTCCAGTGCCTTACCCACTATACCACTTGCTGGTGCCCATGTGGCCATTTTGATGGCCTCCTTGATTATGAGGTCAGAATAGCTCTCAAATTCTGTCTGTGTTGTCCTGGCAACCTTCGTGTATACAGTGTTCCAGAGTAAACTCAGACTAATCTGTTCATTTGTCCCTTCATTTGTAATGTGTTAAATCTTTCTTATATTTTACATTTTTATAACTTTCCTTATTCTTTATCTTTGAAAGTGTCAGGATATTAGGTTTAGATGTTGCCTTCCAATATGTGTTGCCTTCCAATATGTATATATTTTGATATATGATTGGTTTATATCCTCAGTTCTGGATATTGCTCTTTAAAAAAAAATCTAATGCCATGGTCTATTTTTTGGCTACCCCTTTCATACATGTGTTATTCTATTATCACTTCTTGACCCTTTTTTTTTCCATTTATGGGTTTTTATGGATGTACTTTAATCTTGACTTTTGAAAATTTCAAGAGATTATGTCTAGGTAATTTATTTTCCTTTTTATTCTCCTGGTTGTGGCATGAGATTTATATGACTTACATTTCGTTTCTCAAAAATTTTCTATTTTTAAAATTAACTGCCAATAGTTCATATTTAAGCTTCCTTGTATATACACTTGACATTCAGTTGCCATTCCTTACAAATTATTATTATTATTATTATTATTATTATTTGGAGATGTTTTTGCTGTAGGACACGTGTGCTTGCCAGAAAGACAGAGAGAGACAGAGAGACAGAAAGAGAGAAATCACCCCCGAGGGGGGATGGCCATGCCACAATCCCTTCTCCTCCATTCTCTTCTTGGGATCTTGGGCACGCACGCACATGCACCCCTCGTTGAGTTTAAGCCACTGGGTCCAGGACTTGAACCGCAGTCAGCTACATGAGAGTTCAGCGACATAGCCATTATGCTAACTGCTGGTCCCAAATTATTATTATTTTATAAGACAGAATTTTGGTATAGGGCCTGCCAGAGAGAGACAGAGAGACAGAAAGCAAGAAATCACCCTCCCAGGGGGATGACCACACAGCAGTCACTTCTTCTCCATTCTTCTTTTAAGATTTCAGACATGCATGCATATGTGCCCAGTGTGAGTTTTAAGCTGTCGTGTCCAAGACTTGAACTGTGGTCGTCCACATGGGAGTCCAACAACATAACCTCTACATCATCTGCTGGTCCCACAATTTTTTTTCAAATCTTTTTATAATCATCAGTTATTTTAAGAGCAGATTAAAAGCAATATTTAAAATTTTACTGGCAATAGTATGGTGTGGAGGAGTCTGAGTATATAAATTTGTTATTTATTCTCCACTTTCATTGGAGGAGATTATTTTTCTTTGCTCTAAAAATACATATAAATAAACTACATTCCAATGTTTGTTTCATCTCATGGCATATGTTTAATAAGAAACACTACATTTTAAATACAGATCATCATAAGTTTCTGGTACAAGATTAAGATTTTTTTTTTGCCTTCCTTTAGCTTTTCATATCCAGGCAAAACAACAGTTCCTTCAAGTCATCATTATTTTGAAATCATGTAAGGTAAGTCTATATTTTCAGAAATTTACCAAACAAAGGGACACTGCAAATAATTGGACTTGGAAAAAAGATAAGGTAGAACAACACATCGAACAATTTTTAAGAAATCTTTTTGCTGCTGTTTGGTTCAAAACTATTTTTGCATGCAAGAATGTTTAGAAAAATCTTTATTATTTCTGGCAGAGTGGTTCAAATATGGTATTTTTTTTTATAAAATTGAATAGAAACACCTGTCTTTACTTGATGTCTTTTTAAATAACCATGATAAGTTTGGAAGCTGGCATGATGGTTAAATGTGCTGGAACTCCCACATGGCCGACCGTGGTTTGAGTCCTGGACCTGGTGGCTTGCTGTTTCACTTTCTCTCTCTCTTACTCTGTCCCTCTCTGGTCAAATTTAAATAAGTAAATAAAATTAAGTTAAAATAATTCTTTAAAAAATAAATAAATAACCCTGATAAACTGAAATTGAGTTCTATTAAAAAAAAATCTTTTGGGGCCAGCAGTTGGTTATGTCACTGGACCTTCACACGGCTCACTACAATTTGAGTCTCAGACTTGAAACATCGGGCATGTGTGTGTGTTGTGTCTAAGATCCCGGGAGGAGAATGGAGGAGGACTTGTGGCATGGCCATGCCCGTGAGGATGTGATTTCTCTCTCTCTCTCCCCAGTGCTTGCACATACCCAAAGGCAATAACCTCTAAAAAAATGTTTTTTTTTTTTCTTAATTGCTAGCATACACATTCATTTGCTAGAAAAAGACAGAGACAAAGCTAGAGAAAGAGGGTGAAAGCACCCCCCAGAAGGGGCATGGTCATGCCACAGTCCTTTCTGCCCTATTTCTCCATTCTGTTGGGACTTTGTGCACATAAGCACATGCACTCACTGTGTTTTTCAAGTTGCCAGAAGTGGGATTCAAACCACAGGTGTCCATGTGGGAGCAGCTCCATTTACTACTGGCTATAGGACTGGCTCAAGTCAGTGCTTTAACTGTAAAACTGTTAAAATATTTGGAAGAATTGTGTTTATTAAGAAAAATACAGAACTTGGAGTAGCTGTCTCCCCTCCTATTTCACTTATATTTTTGTTTATGATAAATCCTCAAAAGAGTTATTTTTTGGGCCAGCTGGTGTCATGTGGTTAAAGCAGCTGAATCCCACATGGCTAGTTCGAACTCCAGATACACCAGCCTGAAAAACATGTGGGGCATGTGTGTGTGCATGCCCAAAATCCCTAAAGGAGATAAATGAAAGAGAAGGGATTGTGGTGTGAGGATCTTGGAGGTGGGTGATGCTTTCTAACTCTCTCCTCTCTGCTGGGGAGTGCATGCACCCTATAGCAAAAACCTCTCCAAAAATAAATAAATAAGTAGAAGTTATTTATCAAGCATTTTTTATAGAACAGCAGTGCTTCCATATGATTTTTGGTAACCTAGAATATAATAAATATATCGATGTCTAGTAAATTAGGGAAATTACTGGTCATGTCACAATCCTTTCTCCTGCATTCTTCTCTTGGGACTTTGGGCATGTACACACACCCTGGTGTGAATTTCAAACTGCCAAGTCTGGGACTCAAACCATGGTAAACTATGTGACAGTCCAGTGACATAACTATTATGCCACCTGCTGGTTCCTTCCCTTGTCATTTTAATGAATGAAGCTTTTCTTTTCATGTCTCTCTTCACACCTGATATTGATCATTTATGTCTTTCTTTTTTTTTTTTTAATTAATCAGTCTGAGCAGAGTTTTACTAATTCTATTGATTGCTTTAAAAAGCTCTTGATTTATTTATTTTATTGCTTTCTGTCTTCTATTTAAAAGATTTCTGCCTTTTTGCTTGCTTTTACCCTTTGGTTAGGGTTCTTCATTTTCTAGTTTCTTACAAGGGAAGCCTAGATCATTCACTTGACACCTTTTCTAATAAAGACATTTAAAGCTATACATTTTCCTTAAATTCATGCTTTACATAAAATTAAATTTGATATTCTGTAATTTCATCCAATTCCAAACATTTTCGTAATATTTTTCTAAATATCATTCTTTTCCACATCGATTCCTTTTACTGATACGTGTTCCATGCTGACTGCACTTCGTGTAAACCCTATCAATAGAGGAATTTTCATGTGGAACTTCCTATTTCCCAACTCCCTAGGGTAAGCATACACTCCACAGTAAAATCTGATTTTGCTCACCTTCCAGTGTCATCAAGAAGTTGACTTTTAAATTTCCAGGTTTTATAGTTCTTTGCTGCAAAGGGGAGTTATTCTGTAGGGTCTTTATCCTTTGAACTTGCAAACCACCTAATTCATTGTTAGTGGTTGTTATTGGGTCATTGGGAAAGTCATGATGCATTTTTGCATAGAAAAATATGTCATGACTTTTGCAACATCCTAGTAATATACTCTAGAATGTGCACACCATGATTTTGTTCAAATATTTCCATGTTGATGGACTTTCTAATTGTTGTTCTCTTTTGTTATTACAAACTGGAATTGTCACATTCCTGTAAGTAGATTATTTGAGGTTTAACATCCTTTAAAATATTAGTTGACCATTTAGATTTCCACTTCTAAGAACTAGTTCTTCATATGTTTTTCCACTCTATATTTGTCTCTTTATTTTTGTTGTTAGATTTTTTCTTGGTAAGTAGAAGCTCTTTTTATATTAATGATGTTAACTCTTTATCTGTCAAATGTAAAGCAAATAATTTCTGAGGTTATAAATTATCTTTTGTCTTTTCTACCTGTTGCCTTT